TCCATCTTTGCTTCCTTGTAAGTTTTCTTTTGTTCTCTGCTGAGCACTTTCTACTTTGTTCTCCCCCCACTTCTTTCCCCACCCCCCTAGACTACAATTAAGCACGGATATATTTATATATAGATATACAGATACACACACACCCCTATATAGACATATACTTTCCCTAACAAATTCTATTTCTGATGTTTGTTTTCACGTTTGTGCATATCTCTTATTTCCTACCCCCACATGATCATCTGACATCACTCTTTGGGGTAGAAGAAGGTTTCTTTGCTTCAGTATGCTCCTCTGAAGATAAACCCCGGTCTTTTCTCTTCCCACAGTAATTCATTATGGTTGGATTCTTTCTCATTTGCCTGTGCATTTTTTTTTAATTTGTAGAAGCTTGCTTTTTATAATCACCTCGAGTCCTGGGGTATGGAGGATGGTGCCTCTGGCCTCAGATCCTCCTTCATTCTCCCCTCTGGCCAGGAACTGAAACCAAGGACTCCAGCTTCGGGTAAATGCTCACAGTCCAGGGGCATCCCCACCCCACTGCTTCGGCACTCGTTGGGTGTGTGCTGGCTCCTCATCCCCTTCAGTGTCTCCCCAGCACAGCTGGGTCTGGCATTTCTTGTCAGAAGAGGTTCCCTTGATCTTCCCCGACACAGATGCCCAACACCTCTCACTGTCTTGGGGTGTAAAAGTTCCTGTGACTGGGGCCAGGCATTCTCTCAACCTAGCTAACCCCTGGGCTTGTAGCTTGTTGTTTAAGTGGACCTAGCCTTGGGGTGTTTACTCCTCACAGTGACCAAACCTCATCCTGGGATTTTTCTCCAGATACTCCCCGATTTTCACAGGAGGACCCCTGTTCTGCCCCACTCTTACTCATTTTTACCGCTCTATGTTCCCTTGAGGTGCTATTTTATCTCTTCTGTTGGGGGGAAATCTTGACAGCTTGGAATTTTCTGACCAACTCCCCCATCTTCCCAGAATCCCCTCCAGATCTGGTTTTTAATCTATTCTGCTACCCGTTTCTTTTTTTACGGGGTAGCTCATCTTATTCACATTTAGTTATGATTACTGTGTTTCCCTCCATCCTATTTTATTCTCTTTATCCTTCTACTTTTTTATACTGTCCCTTCTCAAAAGTCTGTTTTGCTCCTGACCACTGTCTTCCTTAATCCTCCTTTTTATCATGCCTCCCCCACCTCCATATCTCTTACCCCTTCCCCTCCTATCTCCTAGTGCGTAAGATAGATTTGTGAGAAAATTTTCTCCTTTCTACCTCTCCCTTCCCCCTTCTCCCAGTGTATCCTTTTTCCTCATCCCTACTTTTTTTGGGATGAAGAATCCAAAATAACCGACTCACATCCATGCCCTCAGTCTATGTTGATTCCTTTTAACTGCCCTAATATTGATAAAATTCTTAGGAGTTATATGTATCATCTTCCCATGCAGTTTACACTTGTTTAAAGTACACAGTTTAACTTTATTGAGTCCCTTATGATTACTTTCATGTTTACCTTTTTATACTTCTCTTAAGTCTTGTATTTCTAAGTCAAATTTTCTATTCAGCTCTGGTCTTTTCATCAGAAATGCTTGGAAGTCCTCTATTTCATTAAATATCAATTTTTTTTCCTTGAACGATTACACTGTTTTGCTAGGTAGATGATTCTTGGTTGTAATCCTAGCTCCCTTGTCTTTTGGAATATGATATGTCAAACCCTTCGCTCTTTTAACATGGAAGCTGCTAAATCTTATGTGATCCTGACTACGGCTCTATGATAGTTAAATTGTTTCTTTCTGGCTGCCTGCAATATTTTCTCTTTGACCTGGAAGCACTGAAATTTAGCTAAAAATTTCTGGGTGTTTTCATTTTGTGATCTCTTTCAGGAGATGATTGGTGGATTCTTTCCATTTTTCTTCTACCCTTTGCATCTAAGATATCAAAGCAGTTTTCCTCCATAATTTCTTGAAATATTTCTAGTCTCTCTCTTTTTTTTTTTTATCATGGCTTTCAGGTAGTCCAATAATTCTTAAATTATTTCCTCAATCTATTCTCCAGGTCAGTTGTTTTTCCAATGAGATATTTCACATTTTCTCCTATTTTTTCATTCTTTTGACTTTTTTTTATTATTTCTTGAAGCCTAATAGTCATTAGCTTCCACTTGCCAAATTCTAATTTTTAAAGAATTATTTTCTTCACTGAGCTTTTGTACCTTTTTTCTTAGAAAGCAATTCTGCTTTATAAGAAGTTCTTTTCTTTAGTGGATTTTTGTTCCTCTTTTACCATTTGGCCTATTGCGTGGTTTTTTTTAAGGTGTTACTTTCTTATATACATACACATATATATATTATATATATATATGTATATATTATATATATATATTATATATATGTATATATATACATATATATATATTATATATATATGTATATATTATATATATATATTATATATATGTATATATATATATACATATGTATATATATATACATATATATATATATATATATATATATATAATATATATACACACATATACATATACACACACACATATTTTTTTGCTTTTTGGTGAAGCAATTGGGGTTAAGTGACTTGCCCAGGGTTACACAGCTAGTAAGTTGTGAAGTGTATGAAGCTGGGTTTGAACTGAGGTCCTCCTGACTCCAAAGCCAGAGCTCTATCCACTGTGCCACCTAGCTGCCCCAGTTGGGGAGTCTTTTTTTTTTCTTCAATGTTTTTGTTCCTTTTATCAAGCTGTTAATCCACATTTCATAATCTGTCACTCTCATTTCTTTTCCCAATTTTTCCTCTGCCACTCTTATCTCGTTTCAACTCTTCCAGGAATTCTTGATGACCTTGGATCCAATTAGCCTTTTTCTTTGAGGCTTTGCTCATAACTGTTTTCACATTGTTGACTTCATCTAAACTTATGTCTTGGTTTTCCCTGCTACTGCAGTAGCTCTTTATGATCACATTTTTTTTTCTTTTCTTTTTTTTTGGCTATTTGCTCATTTTCCCAGCCTGTTTCTTCACTTTGAACTCTATGTTAAAGTTGAGCTCTGCTCACCTGGAGGTGGGGAGGTACTATGTCAAGCTTCAGGTTTTTTCATGCTGTTGTTGTCAGAGCTAGTTCTGGGAGTTTGGAAATTTTTGGTGCTTACGAGGTGGTGTGATCCCAGAGAGCAGCATGGTCACTGTTCTCCTGGTCTATACTCAAGAAGGGCCTCTGCTCCCCTGCAGCCATAAGTACTAGCTCACCTCTTCACCCTGGAAATGTGACCAGGATGCCTGCTCCCTTGTGACTGACCACAAGCACTCCTCTCCACCCCAGAAGAGTTGCCAATCAGTGCAGCCACACCCAGTGCCACTAAAGGGTCCCTATAATCTTTCTGAATGTTGTCTGACCCATTTACCATCTCTGGGCTGAGAAATCCCAAAGCTGCTGTTGCTGCCACTGTCTCAGCCTCCTCTAAGGTCCACCACTGGTGCTTATCCTCCTGCCATGCTCCAGGCCTTCATCTGTTATGTTACAGACTTCTCCAGGTCTGGAAAAATGTCTCTCCCCCTTTCGTTGGCCCTGCAGCCCCAACATTTGATTTAATACATTATTTTAAAGTAGTTTGGAGAGGAATGTTGGGAGAATTCACCTGGGTCCCAGCCTATACTCTGCCATCTTGATTCCTGTACTTATTTTCAAAAGAGAAAATAGAGCCTGTAAACTATAGGCCATTGAGCTTGTCTTTGGCTTTACAGTTATCTCTTCCACATTGTGGGGGTTAGGGGCACAGCACCCCCCCCCCACAATCTGGAAAATACATGTAAAATTTTTTGGCCCTCCCTTCATACCAGAGAGGTCTGAATTTTTTTTTTATGGGGTTCTTATAGTACTTTATTGTAAAATTTGGGTTTTTTGGTCATAGGCTCTGTGTCATCTGCTGACCTTCACATGTTATCTGCAGCTTCCATGAAACTCCAAAAAAATTCCCATTTAATTTCTTATACCAACCCATGATATATCAAAACCATGATGTGGAAAGTTGCAATGTGGAAGGTATAACTGTATTCGTTTTTCTTAGGCCTTAGGGACTGATGGCATTAATAATGTTAAGGCTTGGCATAGCAGTCTTTAGTCTTGTCAAGTCACACGGGGATAAGTTAACTGTATTTAGGCCTAATTTAAGGGGAACCATATAGTTTGCATGGGGCAGCTAGGTGGTATAGTACAGTCTTGGGCCTGGAGTCTAGAAGAATTTAGTTTAACTCTGGCCTCAGAAACTTATTAGCTGTGTGTCACTAAACCAATGTGTGCTTCAGTTTCCTTGTCTGTAAAATGGAGATAATAGCACCTACCTTCCAGAGTTGTCGTGAGGAGCAAATGAGATAATATTTGTACAGTGTTTAGCACTGTGCCTGACACAGAGTAGGCACTATATAAACACTAGCCTTTATTATTAGCTATTATCAAGAGGAGAGGGTAGCTCTATGGATTTGATGATTAGTGATTGTCTTTGGGGCTGCTGGTGTTAGCTCAATGTGTTAGCTGGAGACGGGGGACAGGGGACATGGTAGCTGTCTTCAACTGTTTGAAGGGCTGCTGTATGGAAAAGGGCCACCACCAAAAGGTAGAACATCTTCTAACGTGACTGAATGATTCTCCACTGAGAAAGGATTAATATACTGATTGCAGTTTATTGTTTATTCCAGGAGTCCCATTGATTCTTTGAGGGTAGTGGTACAGGAAAGAAAGGATGATAACTTTGTTACTCTACTATTCCAGAAGGTTAACCCCAAACTCTTACATATTAGGACTTTTTCCTTGCTCAAGATTCTGGTAAATGTTACCTCAAATCAACTTTGGGTAACAGAGATGTACCAGAGAGTATGGGGAACTATGCCAGTTTGGACATCCCTCTCTCCAAGCTAAAAATGGCTTGGACTTAGATTAACGTTAAATGAAATCGTTTCTGGCACACTTGTGCCTAAAATAGAGTACATATTATTAGTATTTTTTCCTTCAACACTACTATATAATGCTTCCAAATCAGTCTCTTGAATTCCTTGTCTATTTCCTCTTTCTATCTATTCAGTAATGTAAGCCAATAACAATAGTTTATTTCTTCTTAAAATGGTTTTCATCCAAGACCATGATCTCTATCACCTTCACTCCTCAGTCCTTTTCTGACCATTACCCCTACATTGGCTATACTCTCCTTCATTACTTATCTTGACTCTTTGGTACACCAATTCAACTCTACCCTATCCTGTACTCTACGGTTCTTTACTCCTTCCATTGCTGTTCATGCTTTGCCAAAGATTATTCATACCATCTGCCTCATTCACTCCTATTGATGTGCTGCTGGAGGGAGCTGGAAGAAATAATGAAACTGTTAATTTGACTGGGTCCACTACACATCTAATTTCAACCTGGCCTCCACTGCAGCAAGGCAATCACTCTCCATTGCAGCCATTCCAAACTTTATCATCTCTTCTCAAGCCTCCCACAGTACCCTCTCCCCCTCCAGAGGTCCTCCACCTCTCCCCTGACTGAAAAAACTGAAGCCATTCACCAAGAGCTCTCTCTTCATCTTATATCACTCAGATATCTGCCCCTACTATCTCCTTCCTTCTGGTCTTGAAGTTGTCCTTCTTCCAAGCCCAATTCCCCAATATGGACCACGGATTGCATCTCTTCTCATCTTTTCTAGCAGACTGCCTTCACTATCATCCCTTCCATCTCCTCCTAACTAGAACCTTCCTAGATGCCTACGAACATGTCCATGCCTCTCCCATCCTTAAAAAACAACAACAAAATCTAAACTCATTTGATCTAACCATCCCCTAGCTATCATTTCATGTATCTTTCCCTTTATAGCTAAACTTAACAAAACCATTTACATCAGGTACCTCCAATGCCTCCTTTCATCTCTTAACTCTGCAGTATGACTTCTGACCTCACGAATCAACTGAAAACTCCCCAGTTACCACTGATCTCTTTAACTGGAAAGTCTAGTGGCCTCTCAATCTTCATACTTTCTAACTTCTCTGTAGCATTTGTTGCAAATAGTCATGCTCCCTTCCCTTTCCTGGACATTCTCTTCTCTCTTAGTCTTTATGACATCGTTGGCTCTTTAACTGCTCCTTCTCTGTCTCCTTTCCCGGATCTTTCTCTAGGTCATGCCCACTACAATGTGGGGAAGTTGTAATAATGTTTCATAATTCAAACAAAACACAGCTATATAAAATTTTGGGGTTCAAGCCATCCTGACTTTGATCTGTAGACAACCTCTAGAAAAAAAATTCCGGGGTATGATGCTGACAATGGGACAAGAGAAATCATTTTTTCCTAACATCCCACTTCAATGTTTCTGCTTCTCAGTATTTCTCTTCAGAAGAAACCGTGGCAACCATGGACAAGTGATAACTTTCAGTGGCTTGAATGTATTTTCTACAATATGTACATGAGTTAAATCTGCCAATCTGAGATCCATGAAATTCTGCTCCTCAATTTTTTGATAGGAAGGATAGAAAAAAATTGAAGTGGAAGAAGATATTGTAATTCTCTTAATCTCTGTTCACAAAGATACTGATGGGTTTGATCAAGGTGTGTTTGTAGCCACTGCAGATACGCCAGCCCTAGACCTATTCTTTAGAAATTTTACATATGGAATAACACAATCTGAGATCACTGTGAGGCCCTGGTTTAAAATATTAGCCTAGTTTTAAGAAGCCCATTCTTTCTGGACAAAGAGCATTTCTCTTCTGATAATTCTCTGATTCCAAATTACAGAGCTCAGGCCTGTGTAAGAACCAGAGTTAAATCCATTATTCAAATGACCAGCTCAATACCATACTGATGTGAGCCACTGTGACAGCTAACCAAGCAGACAATTTCTGGAAATACTGTCAAACTGTGAACATCTTCATAAGGATATCTTCCTTGTACTTAGAATCAGAGTTTTGAAGGGTGAAGTCTTGTTACCCAGAAGAAATAACAGCTACCATTTAGGTATCACTTTCAAATGTGTAAAATACTTTACATATGTCATCTCATTTTAACCTTACAACAAACCTGCAAAGTACGTATTATCCCCATGGGGAAATAGCGGCTTAGGGAGGGCAAGGGATTTGCCCAGTGTCATGCTACTAGTAAGGATTTGAGACAGGATTTAAACTCAGGTCTTCGTGACTCCATTACTTAAAAATGACCTTTGGAAGGAATGTTGCTTTAAGACACACATTTACTTTGCTTCATTTTTGGATTTATTCTTACTTCTATTTGTAAATATTGCTAAAACTTGAAAAAAAATTTGATTCATGATTTTCCAATGTTCTTTTAGTTATTTTAAAATAAATTAGAATGATTTCATTAAAATTAAACTCACTCATATGGACTAATTTGGAGTAAGGCTATTAAAGAAATGGATTTTTCCAACTTTTAAATACAAAAAGTAACACTAACATGTTAATATCCAAATTGAGCTACAGTAATTACACTTTACAGAGGATAAGGGTCTGCTGTAATTAGCTTATGAAATAAAAACTTGGAAACTGCAAGGTTCTAAGAGCTGGAAAGCAGATTATTCTTCTAAATAAGGGAGGTATTTCCCTTGGAAATAGGTCCATTTTAACTCATTTTTCCCACTCTAAAACTTCTTTCCAGCATTTTCTTTCCTCAATTGTTGAGATCTGCATTAAAGGTTTTTTCCCCCAATACAATACTGCTTAATTGGCTACATGAAAAAAAAAATAGTATTGTTAAACAATATTCCATAGGTTCAGTGCCCTTAAAGAAAAAAAATTTATTTAGTCATAGCCAAAATGCAGAGCTAAAAATGAAAGAAATTCTTCTCTGCCCATCATCAGGATCTCTCCTCAACTCAGCAGCATCTCTTTTGTCCTTGACTCTTTTTAGATAGAGACTCACTCATCTCTCATGCCTTCTTTTCAACCCGACAGACATCTCACCTCTCAGGGAGGTTGGAGAGAGGCTATGATGGGGAGAGGAGGATCGCAGTCATTGTCATCAGGCAAACTCCTTGTCACCTCTTGCTGCTGCCTGATTAATTCCTGGGGTTGATTTCTGATCTTCTGGACTCACTACAAAGTCTGGACAGCAGTTCCCTGAGGACAGCAGGAAAGGCAGCCAACATCCAGAGCAATGTTACAGTGGGGTTTCATGTGACTCAAATTAGGTTTTTATTGTAAGATGTATTAACAAAATCATTTAAAAATTACTTGGGGCACTATTACACAGCATGTACACAGACCTATCAGCCACTCTGCATTTCAAGGCACAGCTAGTATTTAAAACTAGAAAAGTACTGAATCACTTGTGTGACCTAGGGCAAATCACAATTTCTCTGAGACTCAATTTCTTTGCATGTAAAATGAAGACGTTGGCCTAGATAGCCCGAAGTCCCTCTCAACTCAAGATCTATGATCTTATGAATCAGAAACCCAAAAGGAATAAATCACTCCTTCACTGTAAGTGACCAGCCTGTGCCTAATCTCTATTAAATGAAGCAGTTGTTAAACTTGGGCCAATAGCTCTGTTTGAAAAGCTAATTGTGAACCAAGAAAGAGTTCATTCTCTTGTGTATAGGACTGAATCCAGAAAAGATGACTTTAAATAGAGGAATGTCTTTATAGTTCTAGACAAAAATGTGAGGTTAAATACGTGGCTTTTAAACCCCCAGGAAACAACATATTTTCATACCTGTATTTAGCTAATTGTTCAATCCAGCTACTCTGGGCAGGAAGAGGAGGATCTAGTTAGAGTTTCTTACTCAAATGTTCTGAGTATCATCTCTTTAATAAAGTTTCCAGTGGCCTTCATTTTTTTCTTTCACGGCCCTTCTTTTCCTTGCTTTTCCTGTCAAAGAAAACAGCCTGTACTGCTCACAGCACTAAAGTTGTGGAAAGTTCCTATGAGAAAGGCAGGATAGAAGAGATCTCTTTCCAACAAGTTTCCAATATGATAAATCACTTGCTACAAATTATCATGATATGAAGTCTTCTAATTATTTAAAAGGTGATTCTTTTACAATTAACATGAGGTTATACCCTTACCCACTACTACAGTGAATAAAATGTGGGAAAACTCCAGCTCCTGGTCACAACAGGAAATAACATAAAAATGAAAATGTTCTTAAAAAGGACATTGTAGAGATCAGAAGACAGCTCTCATAGTTTTGCTTTGCGTCAGTTCTAGTCCCAGGCTAGTTTATGAGTCAAACTAAGATTTCAAAACAAGGCCAAATCATAAGACTGAACCTTCTTTTCTTTTTCCAGTATATCTGATTCATAAATGGACACACTGGAAGAAACTTGTTTTACCCAACTTTATTACTTACAAGTTACCAAAGTCCTTTAAGTGCAGGCCTGACCATGCAACTCCCCTACTCAATAAACATGGCTGTTGCCTCTAACATAAAAATACAAACATGACACTCTTGCAGGAAAAGCCCAAAATGTATCTTCCCATGTGAGATCCTACACATCCCTTTCTCTACACTCCCATGTCATAACTCTAAGTGAGGTCCTCATTACCTCTTATCTGGACAATTAGAATAAGGTCCTGATTAGTCTCCCCTCCTCTGCACTGAAGCCAGAGTAACCCTAAAGCACAGCTCTATTTTCTTACAAAAAATTTTTTTAAAACCCTTTAGCAATTGTCTATCATCCTACCCAATTAAGCTCAACCTCTATAACTTGGCATTAAAGACAATACACAATTTGACTTCAAATTATCTTCTCAAATATGTCTCACTCTACTGTCTTTCAAGTGCTCTATGCTCCATTCAAACAGATCCCATTCAATCAAATGATATTTGTAAATATTTGTAATAAATAATATTTGTAAATATAATTAAATGAAAATATATTCGTCAAATGCTTAATACAGTGCCTGGCATGCAGGAGGTATTTGACAAGTGTGTTCCCTTCCCGTCCTTATCCATTTACTAAACACATCTTGCACCCCACCCAAGCCTCCACCAGTTAAAATCCTACCTATCTTCAAGACTTGGATCAAATACCACCCCTTTCCCGTGAGTTGTCCTTGATCCCCCCCAGACAAAACCTTACTTCTTGTGAACTCTAAGGGCACTTATTTCATGTTTCTCACGCACATTTCATATTCTAATTTCATACATCTTAGCCCTCCTACTAGAACGAAGATATTTGAGGGCAGTAGCCTGTACAATTTCCCCAACTGCAAAACACACACGCTTTCTCACATGGTCAATAGGAAGAAGAAAAAGTTAGAGCTAAAATTATGATTAGCTCAAAACCAAGGATATTACTTAGGTCCCAACACTGTTTTCTTTCCCGTCCAAAATTAACTTTAAGTCATGTTTTATCAGTTTAAATACTACCTCCTCAAAGAAGCTCGCTCTGGTCACTTAGCTGGAAGCAATCTCTCCCTCATATGATTTCACAAGACTTTGTACTCCTTTTTATGTACTTACCACATTCTAAATTATCTTTATCTGTGTATGTATCTTACCTTAAACTACTAGACCTTAGGTTTTATGATGGCAGGAACCATGCCTTACATGTCTTTCTATCCTTCCCAGCCCTTAGTATAATGTAGTGCACATAGTGGGCTATGTTTGCCACCAGTATGCCTGACCACAGTGGTTAGATTTTAAAAACTGGCACCAACCAAAAATAACAGTCATTTTGTCTTTTCTCCCAATGTTTCCTAAATGCTTCCTATATGTTAAAACAGCTGATTCACTCTCATGAGTTAATTTTAATAAAAGATGACAAATTATCATATGGACTGATAATATCTGGAGACTTCATGAAAATCACAGTAATCAGTGGTCTCTGTAACTATGGGGTCCTATAAAATGCAAGCTCCATGCAAGAGAACCTTTTGGAATAACATGGAGCACATCCTTTTCCCTCTCTGAGTCTATACTAGATTTTCAGGAAAATTCCTTCCAGCTTTAGTGATTTTGGAGTTCTAAAATACCTCTGCTTCTACCTCAAATTAAAAAAAAAAAAAGACCAGGGCAAAAAAATCTTTAATCACTCACTGGGATTTCATATTCAATTATTAGCAGATTTGTAAACCATTTAACTTGCTTTGCTTTAAACCAATAGTCCAGTCAAGAAAGATAGGCCCAAAATTTGTTCTTTTATAATGACAAGCATAACTAAGTACAAATGAGTTTCAATGGTGTAGATTGTTAGCATGCTGCGTTGCATTATGTCAATAAAATAATCCCTTTCCCCCCACCTTTCTCCCCACCCCCCATCATTCCCCACCCAGGAAAATAAATGATTGTGCACTGCATGACGATACCATTAGGTGTGAACTTTGGTTCATGCAAAATCGGCTCCCACAGAGGCTGCAGCAGCAGCAGCGGCCTCAGCACCCAAAGTCATTTTTTTTAGCTGTTGTCCATATTTTCAACCATGTTCCTTCCATAACACCAAATGAATACTGTGGTCAGGCATACTGGTGGCAAAAACCAAACCCATGTCATTCTGCCCATCTAGTCCATTCAGCCATGACATTTCACCTGCCAAGAAACTTGAGCCCCTTTTTGACTTCCTGTACTCAGGCAGAGGCCAGCGACTGATCAGGTTCTCTGTCCTTAAGTCCATGATGTAGAGATAGCGGTTGTCAAATAACAGGGCAAAGATATCTCCAAAGCCAAGTAATGACAAATTTGCTAACTCTGGAGTCTTGATAACCCTGTAGGAAGGACAGTTAAGAGTGATAAATAAATAAGAGCATAATTTCGCTTAGGTTACTATCATCCCAGCATGTCACAACTATAGGGAAACCTTGAGATCATCTAGACTGCTTCTCTTATTTTTATTGATCATAGCTTTAGAGCCAGAAGGAACCTCAGAAGTCATTTAGTCCAACTTACTCATTTTAGAGATGAGGAAATCAGAGGGGAACTTGGTACACAGAGAAGTAACCAGCTAGTTAATCAACTAGAATTCTGGACTCCTCACAGTTCAGGGTTCTTTTCACTACAGTGTAGAAAAGGTTTCTCAGTGGAGTCACAAAAAACCTATTAATAAACAGTACATATTGGGACAGCTAAGTAGCACAGTGGATAGAGTCAGGAGGACTTGTGTTCAGACACTTGACACTTACTAGCTGTGTGACCCTGGGTAAGTCACTTAACCCCAATTGCCTCACAAAATAAACAGTGCATTTTTGTGTCCCCCCCTTTTAGTTTTTAGCTACAACTGACTTAAAATGATTTAAATCAATTTGATTCAAACAGAAAAAACACTACCTGAGAATATCATAGCTGGCAAAGTCCCACTGATAAAGTCCTAGGGCTGAACTACATACGATATATTTGCCATCAAAATGGAGTCTGGGCTGCAAACAGATACTTCGATCCTCAGACACAGACAATGTTTTTAAGCATTTGCAGTTGATTTCTCTTCCAATTGGCCAAATCTACAAATTGGAGAGGAGGAAGAGGAAACAACAATCAGAAGAATGCTAGCTGACATCAACTTGATGGGGGGAGTGTGGGAGGTTAAAAACAAGCTTGTTTTAAAGTACACAAGTGCTGGTCTGTATTTATTACATTCAGGTTAGTTTAGCTTACTTAGATGTGGAAGATGGATGCTGATAGGAAGCAGGAATAAACTAGGGAAGGAAAAATTCAGTGCAGTTTGTCAAAGTGCCAAATCCAAACTGAAGCAGGAAAAACATGCTCAAAATCTTTTTTTCTAACAACTACCTTTAAAGAACATCTTTGGTCTACAATTAATTTTCAATTTAGAAAAAGAATACTGTAAACTTCCCTCTCAGTCCAAGAGGTCACTAGGTCCTATTGCCATTCATTGTTTATTAGGGAAACTCCTGCATATTAGGGCAATATTTTGCCTTAATTGCCACTAATATTTAGCCTGTATTGTCAAGTTCCTGCATTTCTCAACCCCTGCTCCAGTGCTATGTAGGTGATGTTTGCAGGTGGGAGCAATGAGAATCATCAGACTCCCATGAGATGAGGGGGTACAAAGCTGCACTACATTAGAGCTTTATAATAATGCCCAACCTTCCATAGCCACAAGAGATGGTTAAGATCCCTGTCTCTTTCCAATCATTAGGAACAAATGAATTCTTGAAGCCAGTGAGGCATTTTAATAACAGAAAGGCTAACTGGGGATGGTGAGAGAGCGGAGGCAAGGAAGTGTAACTGCATTATGCTGGTATAAGGAACATGTACTTGGATCTGGGAACTTGGGAGCCAAAGCTGGTCTCTAACCACCCAGAACTAGATGAGGAATCATTTCTATAGCAGGCACCTCATACTGAGGCAGGCAATTATCTAAAAGTTGTGTTTCAAGTGGTATCTCCACATCCTGTAACAATTGAAATTTTTAAAATTTACCCATTTTCATCTAACAGAAAAAACTGAAAGGCAGAAAGCAAAAGCCATATTCACCTTGATTTCATACTTGTCGGCACTGAGGAGAATGTGATCTCCAGGACTGTGCAACAGAGACTTGACCTTGCACTTCTGTAAAACCACCTGCAAATATGAAAAGGTTTTATTAAAGAAGGATAAGGTCTGAAGTCACGTGGCAGATTACACCAAACTGATGTAGCCTAAACCTTGTGTCATGTGCAAACTAATTACCTATTTTCACTTACAACTAGATCGTCTAGGTATTTAGCAGGATGATGACATTTCCAGTATTGGTCTTTTCTTTCAATGGCTCCCAGCAGTATCATAAAACCAAAAGATTTAGAGCAGGATGGGGCCTTAGACAATACCCAGTGCAAATTCCCTCATTTACCGATGAGAAAACAAAAGCTATATCAAACAATATGGATTTTGAAATTTGACATGAGTCTCAGAGATGCTTCAGTACTTTAGAAGTATGCCTGAGGTATACAGTCAACTTTAACCACTAAGAAAAGTGTTATCATGGGACAAGTCCCATCATAAGCATCTAAATTACTGATAATCTGGTATCCAGAGAAGGGATGGGATGTTACTAAATCCCAGCATTTTTTCAAAGCACCTGCTGCTGTGCCTCCAGATGCAAGGTTATATGTAGCTGTTAAATCCTGATATCTTTGCCAAACCACCCACAAATTAAGGCCAGAAGTTGTGCTTATTTAACTATTCTATAAAAATCTGGTAAGTGAACATGAAGACAGAAACAGAAACAGTCACTGACCACCGGCTTCCAAGGAAATAGGAGAGTAAAGAAGGACATAAAGGATTCTCCTCTGGGAGAATGCCTGAGTGGATACTGTCAACTTACAAGCCATGGTATAGCTTTTTGTTTCTGGCTTCAAGGATCTTTAAAAGCACCTGACCCAACCATTGCATTTTGCAGATGAGGAAACTAAGGCCCCAAGAAAGGAGAAGACATGCTTAGTCATACAGCACAGATTCAAACCCAGAGTCCAGTCTAGTTCTTGTTTAGATGTCCTGCCCCACACCACCTCTCACAAGTCTTAAAAGTTATAGAAGACAAGGATAAAACACCACAATGTTTGAATGGACAACCAGTAATTTGAGATTTGGCTCAGCAGCTCTCCTACCTTGGTTACCCACTCAGTATGTCCTGTGAGTGTGTTCAGGCACGTCCCCGTTGATAAGGCCCATACTTTCACAGTGAAGTCAGCAGAACCACTCACCAAGAGGTCAAGCTCATCGTTGTAGTCCACACTGAACACTAAAAACAAAAAACAGAAATCCCCACACATACAAGATAAAGTACCCTCCACTGTTATATCCACATCCTTTTTCTTGCTAAGAAAAGGAGACCTCCATGACTCACAGAGATTAAGTTTATTGTCCTAGAACTGCACAATTATGAAAATTTCCAAAAGCTCCTCGTAACTTAGTTTTATATAGTGTTACCACTATTGCTACTATAATGCTCCACTCAACTAAAAATTATGAAGAAAATCCAGCCATTTTACTTTTAAGGTCTGTTAACGATAGGGCCAGGTGACCAATTCTCTTTTTAGTCATTCATTCCTGAAAGTGACATGGGAATCCAAATTGCAGAAACACCAATATTCCCCCCTCAGCACTACCTGCAAGCAGTACAAAGGCCACTGCACAAGCACTGGATTATCTGTTATATGCAGAGAAAACTGCATTCAGTCACACAGAGAATGGCTTCTTGAACTTTTTCCATTCCCAACTCCTTCAGCGCTTCTTAAACTGTGGGTTACAACCCCACATGGGATTGTGACCCACATTTCAAGAAGCCTGATTATAGAGAAGGGTACTGTCACTTGGATAAAGACTGAGTGAAAAAAACCCCCCAGCAATTTTAACTGTATATGGTTATAAGAAAAATGAGTAGGGGAAAAATGGATTACAGGGAGGGCCCAATTAGTGCAAATAACAAATCCTCTGAAGTGGTCACATTATTCAAACTCACAATGCATGTTTTCACGGGACTAAAACTAATTACCTTAGTTATATAGCTGTAACTTCCAATAGTGAGGATCTGAATATATGTAACCACTTCAGGGGATTCATTATTTTTACTAATAAGGACCTAGCTGTACCTCAAAAACCAGACAAGCTTAATTCACTCAACAAGTATTTGTTAACAGACTATTAAATATAGGCCATTATGAGAGTCACAAAGGGAGATACAAAGATAAATAAGATACTATCCCTGTTCTCCTGGATTGTTATTAACAGTCTAGAAGGAAAGATAAAGTATGTCTATAAATAGCCATAATTAGGTCAATGTGTCATAGCAGAAAGAGTAATGGTCTTGAATCAGAATATATAGATGCAAGTCCAGATTGTGACATTACCTGTGTGACTGAGTAAACTACTTACTTTCCCTAAGCCTATATGTACTATATGTAAAAAGAGAATAATACTTGCTACTTTACAGAGTTGTAAGGAAAAATACTTTGAAACTCTAAAACTCTATAAAACTCAAAGCTATTATTAAAATACAATATTATTAGAACAGAATAATAAAAATATAAAAGAAAAATCAGTACCAGCTGGAGAAATAAAGGAAACATGCCTAGAAGAGATAAGATTTGAGTTTTGTCTTAAGGATGGGTATGATTTTAATAGACAAAGATTAGATGGAGAGAGGAGTAATCTACCAGATCAACTATAGTCTTTGCCTGGACAAAATCCCAAAGATACCAAGAAACAGAGGCTTGAATCTCAAGTTAGTCAAATGATAGTTTTTCAAGAGAATAAAGGGAACAGAGTAGGTTTTATTCTTAATTCCCATCTCTAGAAGGTTATTTGAAATGTTTTAATAAAGGAGTTTCAAAAGCCATGAGCTGCACTTAGAACAATTTAGAAACCATCTGTCAAACTGCTAAACACAAAATAACCTATGAAGAAAACTTAACTAGGAAGACCTGGCCTCTAGCTCTAGTTTTGCTATTAAATGATTCCTGACCAAAAGTAAAATCATCTCTCTGAGCCTCAAACCTCCTCGGTCGTGAAAAGGGAATAATATCTAATCTGCCAACTGCCAACTGCGGTGGTGACGATCAACTAACTGATCCATCTTTCATACTGTTGCCAGAATGCTATTTCTTATGCATAATTCTGGTCATGTCACATTTCTGTTCAAAAAGCTTCAAATTCCTTTTGCTAATATTCCAAGACCAGTCACAATCTGATACAACCTTTCCGGTTTTATCTCCTACTACTCCTCCCTCAATGTACTCCATGGTCTAGTCTAGCCAAACACTTGACATCCTGAACATTCCCTACCTTTTCCTCTCAGTGCTTTTGACCATAATCTTCTTTGGAATGCCTTTCTTCCCTCTAGCTTTTGAATTTCTACTTTTCCTAGCTCAAGTTGAATGCAGCTTCCTCTAGGAAGTCTTCCTTGCTTGATCTTCTAGACCAGCAATGATGATATTCTCCCTCAGACATGACACAGCACCTTGTCAAACACTTCTTTGATGCATTTATCACATGTATTGTGTATTACATATATCTATGCCTTATTCCTCCTGTAAGCTCCATTAAGGCAGAGCCAAGGTGTTAACTATATTTCATACCTCCACCAGGGTCTGACACAGTCCTCTGCACTCAGTAGGTACTTAATCTTTGTTGAATAAAATGAGATAATTCATGAGAAAATCCTTTGTAAATTGTAAAGTGCTATATAAATGTAAAGGATTTTAAAATTATTATTACTTGAGAATCCATGAAAAGGGATTTTATGAAATAGATTTCCACTAAGATTTTTAAGCTATGAGTAAATGGTCTGCAGACGAACCACAGCAAAATATACACCCACCATGTATAAGGAAGAAAAGATAAGTCAGTTATAAGGCAGTACAGGGTAGTGCAAAAGGAAAGAAGCTAAGAGTTGGGAGTATGATTTAACAGAAATTGCTGAAATAACTGAACTGCTGATGTTGGACAAGTCACTTAACCTCCCTTGGTGTTAGTTTCCTCATCTGTAAAATGATAGGAGTTGAACTAGAATGGCCCCTGAGGCTCCTGCTAGCTTGATTTCTATGCAGCCCAGCATAGAGGTTTAATCCCACATTTTAAAACCTCATTTCCCCAAGTTTAAAGAAAACCAATCTATATTAGATCAGCTCCCTCCTTTTCTCCTCATCCCCACACTATGGGCGGGGAAAAATTAAGAGTACAAATAAAGGGAAATGTCCTATCCCAGCCATGGAAGAAGAATGGCACATGTAAAGGAAACTATCTTTCTTGGAACCCAGACTAAGACATGGAATCAAAAAACCATACCTGCACCTGTGTGTCCTCGGAAGTGCTGGGTTCGGGCTCCTGAACTCCATTCCCAACAGGCTACAGTGTTATCAAAGGATCCTGTTACAAGTTTCTGTTCATCAAACTTCACAGCAGCACAAGTGTGGGTCTGGATGCCATATATGCACTGTCCTGTGCTCACATCCCAGAGTTTTGCAGACAAGTCATCTGACCCTTCCAAGAAAAACAAAAAATGAAGGGAATGTCAGGAATCATCAGAGCATATATACACAAAAGTATACTAGAATTATGAAATAATAACGGCAATAAGGAATAACAATTCACATTTACATAGTGCTTGAATTAATTGGATCACAGAATTCAGAGCAGTAAGGAACCTCAGATGTCATAGTCCAACCTGCCATTTTACAGGTGAAGAAACTGAGGCCAGGGGAGTTTAAGTGACTTGCCCCTGGTCCCACATGTAGTGTCAAAGGAAAGATTTAAACCCAAGTCCTTCTTCAGAGACACTGTTCTTTCCATTGTTATCACACTGACTCCCACAAATTTTTAATGAAGCAGTTCATTCACAACCACCCCACAAGGAAGGTATCAATGTCACAGTAGATACGGAGCCAGAGGCCTTGGATTCAAATACTGCTTCTGCCACTACTACCTCTTTGACCTTGGCCAAGCCACTTAACAACCTCCCTGGGACTAAGCTGTGTCATTTTAAATGAGGCTGCTAAGCTAGATGACCCATGGTGCCTTTTAGAGTACTAAAGTCATTATAACTGTATGAACATTATTACCTCCTTTTTACAGGTGAGGAAGCTGAAGTCCCCAGAGGTAGTGAATGACCTGCCCCTAAATCACAAAGTCAGTAAATGTGAAGTCTGCGTTTGAAATCAGGATTTTTTTTTCAATCATGTAAAATGTATTTCCACATCAGTCATGTTGTGAAAGAAGAAACAGACTAAAAAAAAATGGAAAAAGAAAGTGAAAAAAATAGCATGCTTTGATTTATACTCAGACTCCATCAGTTCTCTCTCCAGCTGCTATCCAGCTGATAGCATTTTTTATTCTGAGTTCTCTAGGTTTGTCCTGATCATTGCACTGCTGAGAACTGCTAAGTCAGTCATAGTTGATCATCTTAGAATATTGCTGTTACTGCACACAATGTTCTCTTGGTTCTGCTCACTTCACTTTGCATTCAGTTCATGTAAGTCTTTCTAGATTTTTCTGAAATCAGCCTGCTTGTCATTTCTTATAGTTCAAAAGTATTCCATTACTATCATATACCACAATTTGTTTAGCCATTCCCCAACTGACAGACATACCCTCAGTTTCCAAGTCTTTGCCACCACAAAAAGGGTTGCCATAAATATTTTTGTACAAATAGGTTTTTTTCCGTCTTTTTGAAAAATCTCTTTGGAATGCATAGTAGTAGTATTGCTGGATCAAAGGGCATGCACAATTTGTTTACCCTTTGGGCACTGTTCCAAATGTTCCAGAATGGTTAGATTAATTCACAACTCAACCAACAGCATTAGTGTCCCAATTTTCCCATATCCCCTCCAACACTTGCCATTTCACTTTTCTGTCATATTAGCCAATATAACAGGTGTGAAGTGGGAATTCAGTTGTTTTAATCTGCATTTCTCTAATCAATAGTGACTTAGAGCATTTTTTCATATGACTATATGACATTCTTTTGAGACAATCATGACTTCTTCTGAAAACTGCCTTTGACCATTTATCAGAGAAACTTGCTGTAAAATCCTCTGCATGCCTCCACCCCTCCTCCCCACACACGTGTTTTGCTTTCCTTATTATGGCTGCACTGGTTTTGTTTGTGCAACCCTTTTTAATTTAATGTAATCAATTATCCATTTTACATCTCGTAATGCTCTCTATTTCTTGTTTGGTCATAAATTCTTCCCTTCTCCATAGATCTGACAGGTAAATTATTCCTTGCTCTCCCAATCTGCATATGTTATCACCCTTTATGTCTAAACCACGTATTATTGTGATTTTATCTTTGTATATAGTGTAAGATGTTGGTCTATACCTAGTTTCTGCTACACTGTTTTCCAATTTTCCCAGCAGTTGTCAAATAGTAAGTTCTTGGGGCAGGTAGGTGGTGCAGTAGATGGAGCACCAGCCCTGGAGTCAGGAGGACCTCAGTTCAAATCTGGCCTTAGACATACAACACTCACTAGCTGTGTGACCCTGGGCAAGTCACTTAACTCCAACTGCCACACCAAAAACAAAACAAAACAAAAATACCCCACAAAAAACCAAAGTGGATTCTTGTCCCAAAAGCTGGGATCTTTGGTTTTAACATTAGATCACTATGGTCATTTACTACTGTGTCTTGTATACCTAATCTATTCTATTGACCTACCACTCTATTTCTTAGCCACTATCAGACAGTTTTGATGATTACCACTTTATTTATATACAGTTTGAGATATGGTACGGCTAGGCCATCTTCCTTCACACCTTTTTTCATTAACTCTCTTGACATTCTTAACATTTTGCTCTTCCAGATGAATTTTACGATTTTTTTCTAACTCTATAGAAGAATATTTTGGTAGTTTGGTATGGCACTGAATAAATAAATTTAGGTAGAATTTTCATTTTTATTATATTGGTTCAGCCTATCCATGAGCAACTGATATTTTTCCAATTGTTAAGATATAACTTTGTTTTGTTTTTGTTTTTTTTTTACTGAGGCAATTGGGGTTAAGTGACTTGTCCAAAGTCACACAGCTAGTGAGTGTTAAGTGTCTGAGGCTGGATTTGAACTCAGGTCCTCTTGATTTCAGGGCCGGTGCTTTATCCACTGCGCCACGTAGCTGCCCCCGACTTTATTTATGTAAAAAGTATTTTGTAATTATGTTCATATAGTTCCTGGGTTTGTCTTGGCAGGTAGACTCCCAAATATTTTATACTGTAAACAGTTGTTTTAAATAGAATTTCTCTTTCTGTCTCTACTAGGTTTTGTTGGTAATATACAGAAATGCTGCTAATTTATGTGGGTTTATTTTACATCCTCCAACTTTGCTAAAATTGTTAACTATTTCAACTAATTTTTTTAGTTGATTCTCTAAGTATATCATCATATCATCTGCAAAGAGTGAAAGTTTTATTTCCTCATTGCCTATTATGATTCCTTCAATTTTTCTTCTCTTACTGCTATAGTTAACATTTCTAGTACAATACTGGATAACTGTGGTGATAATGTGCATCTTTGCTTTCACCCTGATCTTAATAGGAAGGCTTCCAGTTTTTCTCCACCATAGATAATGCTCAGGATTCAAGTTCCATTTCAGACCCTTACTGGCTATACAGTCATGGGCAAACCACTTAAATTCTCAGAAAAACCTATGTTTCTTTTCTGCAAAAAGGGTAGAATACTTGCACTAAGTAGATCACAAGATTCCTCTAAGCCAGGTGCTTGGCCAATCTTAAAAGTGCCATATAAATGCGTGGTTAGCATAATAAGAACAGGGAGCAATGCAGTATGGATAAAGAACCAGCCCTAGAGTCAGAAATACCTGGATTGAATCTTGCTTCTGACACATACCCTAGGCACCACCCTGGGCAAGTCACTTAACACTTCAAGCACCAGGCAATCCTCTCTTCATTGAAAATGAGGCTCCAAAGACTTATATGGTCTGATGATAAGTGAAGTGAGCAGAACCAAGAGGACTTTGTATACAATAGCAGCCACGTTATGCAATGACTAAGAATGTTAAAACTGAACCCTTCTCAGCATTACGAGGATCTAAGACATCTCCAGAGGCCTCGGGATGGAAAATGCTGTCCACATCCAAAGAAAGAACTATGGAAGTCGAATCGCTCTCACTTATTTTTACCTTTAGTTGAGTTTTGTTTCATCTTTCTGATGGTTCCTCCTATTGGTTTTAATTTTTACTTACAACTTCACTAATGTGAAAATATGTTTAATGGGCATGTAAATGTAAAGCCTATGTCAGATTGTGCGCTGTCTTGGGGAGAGGGGGGAGAAAAAGGGAGAAAAAATTTTCAACTCAAAAGCATATGGAAAAAAAAAATTTTTAAAAATTTAAAAAAAAGTATGGTAACTAAAAAAAAAAAGAAAAAAAAAATGAGGCTCCAATCTGTAATAGTAGAAGGAGCTCCCTCCCTGGGAATTCCCTATACCAATGAAATCACAGGTCAAGTGCGTGCGCGCCCCCCCCCATCACCATCATAATTATTACTAAAATAACCCTTTGGGGACTCAATTTCATTATTTTATGAAGAGTTCTGAAGCAAGTGATCTAAGGCCCATTCTAGCTCTGATATTCTACAATTCTATGATTTGTCCATATCTGAAATCCATGTTTCCTTAATATGTAATTTTAAATAGTTTTCTATGACAGTGAATATTTTTACATGTGAAAGTTACTACTCTATAGTCCAGAATCTAAAATAGTAACTTGATATAACAAGGTAAATCTGTGTGGAGGTTAATCACCAATAGTTGCGCAATCTTTCCCTCATCTGATTTCATGATACTCTACTCCTCAAATACACTTATTGTTTTCTAATGTATATTTATGTAACTGTCATCATGTATGTTGAGACATGCCCTTCTTTGGAGATGAGAACCATGTCTCAACTACCTCTCTTTTTATCTCCTCCTGCACCTCGAATGTACCCAGAATATCAGAGGTGCTTAATAAACCCAAGCTGAGTGGATAATGTCACCAGAAGTTTCAAATTCCAAGATGACTTCAGCAAAGTTTCCCTTGCAACTTTATGAACTCATCCTGAAATGAGTGGCAGCACCCCAAATGGAAACGAGGCATAATCCCCAGGGACAGTATAGCTGATAGAGTACTAGACGTGGAGAGTCAGAGGAACTGGAATGTAAATTCTGATCCTGCTATTTTACTACTCATGTGACCTCAGCTAAGTTAAAAGTCTCTTAGTCTCAATTTCTTCATTTATAAAGGGGGAAAGAGAGAATAAGCATTTATACAGCACTTGCTATGTGCCAGGCACTATGCTAAGTGTCTTACAAATATTATCTCATTTAATCCATACAACAACCCTGTGAAGTAGGTACTGTTATTATCCCCATTTTACAGCTAAGGAAACTGAGGCAAACAGGTTTAACTGACTTGCCCAGGGTAACACAGCTAACAAGTATGTGAGGTCACATTTGAACTCAAGGTCGTTCTGATTCCAAGGCCAGCACT